TAAAAAATTTAATTTTGCATTTCTAATAAGCTTTCATTCGATGTCAGTGTTGCTTGGTCAAGAACTATTCTCTAAATAGCACATTCTGACATCTCTATTTTCAACATTCCTCTATTACAGAAAAATACAGAAAAGAGTCCCTTTTTACTGCCTATGAACTGATTTAAAGAGAATCCTTTTCTTCATCTCGTGGTTAAATCTACCTCAAACAATGAAGTCTCGGCCTCAGCCTTCTCCACTGGAAACCTCCAGAATTACTCCACAGCCACTTAGTGGGAAGGGAGTAACATCAATAATCCATAGTCCTATCCTCTCTATCAGGTGACTTTGGGATAAAGCAACGATTCCCAAAGTGTGGGCCCTACACCAAAAGCATCAGCATCACTCAGAGTCTTGTCAGAAATGCAAATTCAAAAATTATAGGCGCCGGACCAGCAGTCCATATTTTGGCAAAGCCCTCCAGGTGATTTTGGAGCAGGCTCAGGTTTGGGAATCACTAAGGTTAAGACTCACAGCCAAGAGCGGCCTATCAGTACTCAGCTTTGTAGCAAAGAATGGCATTTTATCAAGAAAAAAAAAATGCCCACAACATAATGCTTTCTTAGCCCCAGGACATGGCATATTCGAAGCAAGGGGTGACATCTAATCATAACCCAAACCAATGAATCTAGAGTAGTATGTGATTGTGGGGCCTGCACGTGACTTCTCTTCATGGAACCCAAAAAGAAGATTCCAAAGAATCACAAACACACTCAAATTTGCTCCCTCAATTGAGCAAGATACTCTCAAGCTTTCCTGCCCTTCAGGAAGGATCACCACAATGCTGTTGGACCCACACAAACAGGCATTTCACTCTGCCTCACATTCTGAAGGGAATGACTATTGTACATGGCTCTTTCAACCTGGTAGAAGACAGCTTCTTGTCTTGTTTATCTTTGTGTGTGTGTGTGTGTGTGTGTGTGTGTGTGTGTGTGTGTGAACTCCTTAACTACACATATGAAAGAGAACAATTTCAACCCCCATGTGTCCTGTCAAAAGGCTAGGACGCCTGCAGATTGGTCTGAAGCAAAAGACAACATGCCCCAATGCAGTAATGTTATGGAATAAATATAATTCGCAGCTTCTACTGTCCTGTGTATGTCCCTCATTTTTTATGAGAAACAATAAGAAAGTCTCATTAAAATGTTTGCTGTAATTTTTAAGCTTTATAGAGCCACCCCTAATAGGCCAACATTTGCTTCTTTGTCTTGCATATGAAGTCGTGATTCATCTGTATGCAATTCCACCTTGTTTGTTACAATGTTGCCATGGCAACATTTTTTCCTTTCAAGTACCAAGTGCACTGTGAAGAGCGCATACAAACAGCATGCTCCTATAGGTAAATACTTCATTGCTATCTACATAAACATTTCATTCATTGTACCCACTCTTTCCTCTCTCCATACATCCAGCTCCATTAAGATCCAATTTTTTTAATTCTTTCCTCCCAAGAACATCCTAGAAGAGATCTAAATCAAAGTGGATCTGGGTTTGAATATTATAAAATACTTTCCTTTTTCCACATTCTTCTGTTAAGACCTATAATGTAAGAGCAGTATTAAAAATCAAACCAGAAAGGGGGCGCCTGGGTGGCTTAGTCGGTTAAGCGTCCGACTTTCGCTTAGGTCATGATCTCACGGTTCGTGGGTTCGAGCCCCACGTCGGGCTCTGTGCTGACTGCCAGCTCAGAGCCTGGAGCCTGTTTCAGTCTGTGACTCCCTCTCTCTCTGACCCTCCCCTGCTCACGCTGTCTCTCTCTCTCTCTCTCCTAGAAATAAATAAAACATTAAAAAAATTAAAAAAAAATCAAACCAGAAAGTTAATAACCAAAGTCTTCTCCATCCTGAAGAGCAGAAATTCCTGCTTTCCATCTCCATACAAATAGTACAACTCTCAGACACCATAACACAGTTGTACTTGAAAAGTCCATTTAATAGCAGTTTATATCTGATCAAGTTAATTCTCATATCAGGACCCACAAAATGGAGCCATTGACCCACGTGGCAAATCTAAACCTAGTCAGCATACACTTATGGGAAACACCTGCAAAGAAAGTCTAAACTACACCAATCACACCCCCTACTCAGCTTTAGCTAGCTCCCTTTACCCTAGAAAATAGGACCTGGTGGCCTTACAAGGAAACCCCTGACCTAGTCAATCAGACTTTGTGTCCAAGTTGTCCCTTCCAACACTATAAAACTTGCTCTTACCCAAAGTGCCTTGGGAAGAGTGTCCCTTGTGAGGCACTGTACTTCCCTGGTCCATGAATTGTTTTCCCTTGAATAAAAAACATGAAACTTGTTACTAAATTATTTTAGCTTTGTCATTCGATATATCTTTATTGGACATGTATACACTTGTTTAAGAGACTTCCTAGCTCTAAGACCCTCATGGGCAAAAGTCTGTGTCACACATCATCACCTCTCCCAAATCAACAGGCACAAAGGTTCTGGAATTCCTGACCAGGGACAGATGTATTGGAATTACCCAGGAGCTTTCAAAAGCACAGAGTTTTTGGGGCGCCTGGGTGGCTCAGTTGGTTAAGCCTCCGACTTTGGCCTAGGTCATGATCTCACCATTCCCAAGTTCAAGCCCCCTGTCAGGATCTGTGCTGACAGCTCAGAGCCTGGAGCTTATTTCAGATTCTGTGTCTCCCTCTTTCTCTCTCTGCCCTTCCCCACTTGCACTCTTTCTCTCTCTCAAAAATAAACACTAAAAAAAAATTTTTTTTTGAAGTATAGAATTCTGGGTACTGTGTCTGGGGATTTCAATTCTGGGTAGGTCTATGGGGATAATAATAGAGTCAGAGCACTCTTGTGAGAATTCACATGAGATAAAAAAGGCACAAGAAGCCTCTAGCCTAGGGCCTCGCCCTAAAGGCAATTAATAACTAAGGCAATATTTATTGGTAATAAAATTTTATTGGTAATATTATGGGAGACTAGATTAATTAGAGTCATAATCAAGTCTGATGAATAGTCGCTGCCTGAGAGTAAAGAACTCCTCGGAATGCATAGCCTAAACCAGGACAATCTAAGAGCAAAAGGGGTGCTGTTAATAATTTTACCAGGAGAACAGGCATAAACCAGAGGTCCCTGATAAAAGAATGTATGGCATTCCTATCAGTAATCCTGATTTAACATTTAGTAAAATATATCTATAAGGTTGTCACTGATGGAGCTGGCTGCTTGATTAGGTTAACATCTGATTCTGATTGTATCCCTTTGGACCTGCTGATGCAAAACTGATTTCTCAACATGGGCTTTTATACCCTGCCCAGTGTATAGACTGTCATCAACATAAATTGTTAATATAACAGAGAGAAACTTAGCATGTCTGACTCCATATCGCTTCTATTTCCCTTGCTGCTGTGACCTATAGCTTAGAAACTTCTGTTTGGCCCTGCCTGTTACAGCTAAGATTTGCAAAAACTGTTTTTTACCCAAAACCTACTTCACCCAAGGAGATAAGGAAGTATGTACAGAAATGATTATGCTATGTTTAAGATTTACAGGAACGAGGTAAACCATGAGAGACTCTTGAATACTGAGAACAAACTGAGGGCTGATGGGGGTGGGGAGGAAGGGAAGGGGGGTGATGGGCATGGAGGAGGGCACTTGTGGGGATGAGCACTGGGGTAATATGGAAACCAACTTGACAATAAACTATTTTAAAAAATTAAAATTAAAGTTAAAATATTAAAAAAAAAAAAGATTTACAGTAAAGACATGACCAGATTCCTGTATGTCAAGATCAACTGACCAAGGACAAAAAAGTTACATGGCCTTCTTTGGATCCACAGATGTTCTAACCCCTTCCTTATTTCCCTTCTTCCTAAAATAGAAGAAGCTCAAAGTTCATGCTTAAGGAGAGCTGGTTCTTTGGGACAACAGTCTATCACCTCCTTGTTTTCCTGGCTTTCTGAATAAAGTTGCTTTCCTACCCCAATATCTTGCCCCTCAACTTAATCGCCTATAGTTCAGTGAGTGGAATGAGCTTGGGCTCAGTTACTTAAGACAAAGCTGAGGTAACTACCTGACGAGTTAAGAGAGAACACCAGCTCTGTACTATTTTGTATCTAGGATATGAGACGGCCACATTGGAATTACTGAAAATAAGAAATTTAAAGCTTTGAGTGGGTCAGAGCATGGTTAGAACTGAGTAAGGATCATGATCACTCCAGGATCAGAGGGAACAGCAAGGTGGGCATTTTGAAGCAAGGATTCAAAGAATCTCAGTGGTGTTTTCCATTGAAGAATTGATAGGGTTTTTGGTTGGTGAATCTTTCTGGGCAAGAGTCTCCTGGAATAGTAAAGTCATGCTAAGGAAGACAGGAGAAGAGCAAAGTCATGTTGGTATAGACAGTAAACTATATGGGAGATGGTTTCAGTCCTAAGTGTACAGACTGTGTGGCGGTGGGTGGTTTTGATTCCAACCTTTCTAGAAGTCAATCTGACAGCATGTATAGAGTCTTAAAAGCATTCCCACCTTTTACATTGTAATTCTATTTCCAAGGAGCTAAGGAAATAATTGAAAATGCATACAATGATTTATGTAATGAAGATGTTCATTATGAACTAAAATTAGTTAGTAGCCCCATATTGGAAGTAACCCAAATGCCCAATAATAGGTAAATAAATGTAATATATGCATATGGTAGAATTTCATAAAGCCATTAAAATTTTATGGGAAAAATAATAACAATGGAATATGCATGTACTTTACTTGCTAAGAGGAAAAAAGCAGATTATAGATTCAAATAAACAAAGGAAAAAAGTTACTGGAAGAAAACATAGCAAGTGTACCAAATACACCAAAATGATACTTCTGGTGGTTAGGAACAATTTCAATTGTTCTTCCTCACACTTTTCAGTGTGAATATGTGTTTATATATATATATATATAACACAATTTTATACACACACACACACACACACACATATATATAACAGATTAACAAGTGAAAAGCATATACATTTATTTAACATAAGTTTTTTCTGATACAAAAAATTACATAAGGAAATAAAGACCTGAAGAAATAGACCTTAGGATTTTTATGATAGGTCTGATGAGGAGTGGACAACCAAGGAGAAATATGACAGGTTAAGGAGTATGAAGCTAATATAGTAAACAGGGGAATTTAGCCAGCCCTGTTTCTTAAGATTCTTCTCAGCATCCTTTGTCTTCAGAGGTAAGGTGCTCTTTCTTTCTTTGGGGAATAGGAGGACATCTCTGTCAGGACATCTCATGACCTGTTTCAGAGAAGAAGAGCAGGGGAAAGGTCAGAGTGACCTTCTTTCTACTGTTTTCTCAAACTCCTTCAGCTTAATAAGTTTACTATGCCAAAGTATCTTGGGGTATCGTATCCTGAACTCCATCACTACTGATTTCTAACAAAAATATCTTTATCCCTGCCTTTCAGGATGGTGACATCTACAAATATATGATACTCTTTGCAGATATGATAATTGTGTGAGAAAACTTTCCCCACCATGATTAGACTATCTGCAACCTTGTGGGGATTTTCTTTAAATATCTCTCCTATCTTTTATTCAGTAGGCCAATTCTTCTATAAAGTCTACCCTCCTTTGCAAACATTTTGCAACTAAAATTTCTCTTTTTTCTCTAGTTTTTTTTTTGCATCTAATAAGTGTAAATATTTAGGAAAAAAGGGATAAATCGTGATTTTTTTCTATTTACAGGATACCATGAGTATCTTTTTATGGCTATAAACAGAAAAGCACCTTTTTAATGACTGCATACTATTCCAATATTTGGACATATTGTCATCTATGTAACCAGTAACCTACTGTTCAATTTTTATGGTCTGTGTTGTTGGCTTTATAGTAAAAGCTGAAATAAACATACTTATACATACATTTTTGTGTCCTAATCTAAGATATATTCCTTAAATCAGACTTCAAACTATAAGGGTACCTGGGTTTTAAGGTTTATAATACATATTGTCAAATTGTTCTCTAGAAAGATTGTATACTTACAGATCTACCATAAATAAGCATTTACTCAATGCCCTCCCAACACTAGGTATTACTGCTTGTTTTATTTCTGACCAAGAAGATAAGCTAAAATGGTATTTCATCTAAATTTGTACTTATGTATTAGAATAGAATGTTAACTATTTCTGGGACACCTGGGTGGCTCAATTAGTTGAGCATCCAACTCTTGCTTTCAGCTTAGGTCATGATCTCACAATGGTGAGACTGAGCCCCTTGGTGAGCACTGAGCTCAATGCTCTGCACTGAGGGTAGACCCTGCTTGAGTTTCTCTCCTTTTGCCTGTCTCTCTCACTCATGATCTCTCTCAAAAAAAAAAAAAAAAAAATTAAATAGAATATTAACTATTTTTTTCATCTCTTAACTAGCAATTTGTATTATTTCATTTTGTGAATTGAATGATTATAACTTTTTCCCATTTTCCTATTGAGATATTCACATTATCACCATTTACTTGTAAGTGACATATATTTTAAGGATATTATTTGTCATGTATTGTTAACCAGTTTTGTTTCTTTCAAAATCTTATTTTAAATGTTTTGAGTAGGTGGTGTTAGTTGTTGTTAAAGAGAAGTTTTAAATCTATCCATCATTTCCTTTATGGCTTTCTGCCATTTGGGTTATACTTAGAAAGGATTTTATACCCCTGGAATACTTGGGTTTTCACTTACATTTTTCCTCTATGAGTTTAAAGGTTTAACTGTAAACTTGTAAATTTTTATTTCTAAATAGCATACCCATTTTTTTCTTGATTTATCTTGATTCTTCGATTTTAGACAAATTTTAGTCACCTCCTCAGGCATTCGGCTACCTCTTCACCTTGGCTACCACCACTGGCCAGTTCTATTACTTGGGGCCAATTGGCCACTTGCCCTGGGAATGTCAAACCCTCCCCTGACCATAGCTGTACAGACAGACCAGTTTCTGGCTCCTTGTTCCACTTCAGGACTTAAATGACACACTACACTATATAGCTTTAAACAATACATATGGCATCCTTGGTAGCTTCCAAAAAGAGAACACTGACACAAACAGGATGTGCAGACAGGTTAACTACCATGGGGTAAACTTTGACCAATAGGAAGCAAGATTTGGGAAGGATCTGGGCAGAAACAACTCCCTCTCCTTTTTCTTTCCCATTGTTTGCTCCAAAATATGGTTGCTCCTTGGAGCCTACCTGGAAAAATCTCCCATGTTGAGTGGACCTATCAACTGACCAACCTGCTTAATTCCTTTGGCATGTCACAAAGGGATAACCAGGCTGGTAATGCATCACTATACATCTCTGGACATCCTTTGCTTCACACCCCTTTTGTCCTCATGTCTTCCCTAGGATTATGACTGAAATAAAGCACCAGCATTTCCATGTTGCCTCTCAGACCTGGTTTTCAAGGAAGCCTCTCACTGCTTCTCTTCCTCTTCTTTAAGCTTCTCCTCCTTCCTAGAAGATTCATTAGCTTTCTTGTCCTATCCTTTGATTTGTTTTTTAAAAATTCATGTTAATGTTTTGTACATGTGAAAGGCTTTTCTTGGTTTCTAAATTTTCCTTTCTTATAGCATCCTGCATTTATTTTGTTAATGCAATCTTTTCTTATCTCTCTGACAATATTAATTATAGCCTTGTGGAAGTTTTATTCTACTTTCTGTCTTGTCTCTCTTTCCTCTGAGTTTCTTTTTCTATCTGTTCTAACATCTTTCTTTCATTATAAATATTCTCACATTAAGATAGTTCCTTAAATGTGTGATTCTTAAGTTGTCTTTTTTTTCTCTTAAAAAAAAAAAACCCTTTGTATTTTTGTTCATGGATAAGGCTTACAGAATGATGGTCCTCACCACAGAGTAATTGGCATGGACCCAGCCATGCCATTGGGGAACACAAGTATCTATTTCTATAGGTCTTTTCTTTTGGCCTGCTCATTTTTCCCAGAGCATAATGCTCTACTCTCCTAGGGAAGTATCAGTGTCCTGGGCACTGAAAAGGAACCCAGAGTCTCTTCATTATCAAGTTAATTACCCTGTTTTCAACATGGCACTCTGCTTCAACTCTCACTGGTAGTTGATGTGGTAGTCCACATCTCTCTGTCCCAACATCTCTAGAAAATAAACCAGTCTTCTTCCATGGCCAGAGAGGTAGAGTCATTTGGCTATGGGAGGTAGAGAGGGAATCTGAGGATCTAATTCTTCTTGATAAAAACTGTCAGCAGAACATCTTGTTTTCAGCCCACGCATATCCTTACCTGCCATCATCATTCCTAAGCTGTTCTGAGCATAGGTGGTTCAAACTATTGTTTCTGGTTCTCATACCTCCCCTCTTTCCCATCTGTTTTCTTCCTTCCAGAATTGCATTATTTTCTCTAGTCAGCTGTAGTCTCCTGCCTAGTTTTCTTTCTCATTTACAGTTTCTACCCTTTTACATTTCCCTAACTGTTATTTTAGTGGAGTTGTGGAAGTCTTTGAACACATGCTCCACTTTCATGTTTAACTAAAGTCCTCAAATGCCTCTCCTAGCACATCTTTGAAGATAATCAAATGTTTGGGGTTTTGATTGTTGTTTAGTATTAAGATAATGCATTATATTGATAGGTTTTTAAAAATATTAAGCTATCCTTACAATCTTGGGATAACCTATGTTTGGTTATTATGCGTTATTTTTTATTAGGCATATGGATCCAGTTTAATACTGTATTCAGGCTTTTTGAAAAGTGAAATTCATTTATCTTCTTTTTTGAGTGTTATATTAATTGATTTTTGTATTGGGGTGCTGGTAGCTTAGTGAAGGAATCTGAACAGTTTTCTATCTGTATCTATGCTAAGAAATCACTTAAATTATGTAGAAATTATGTTTGTTGACAGCTTGAAATCACTTCCCCCCATACCTCTACACCCTCATGTCCTTTTTCAGGTAAATAGTTGATAAGTTTTTCAATTCCGTTATATAACCATCTCCTAGGAAACTATTCCTTCAGGTTTTCAGATATATCTCAAAACATTATGCTAAATAAAAGAAGTTTTGTACAAGATAGTGCATATTATATGATTCCATTTACATGAAGTTCTAGAAGAGGCAAAACCAATATAAAGGGGGAAACAGAACAATGGTTCTATTGTGGGGTGGGAACAGGAAGTGATTGGGATAAAACATGAGGGAATTTTGTGGTGTGATGAAAAAGTCCACTAACTATTGTGATGGGTCTCTGGGTTACATGGGTGTATACATCTGTCAAATGAACGTACCTAAAATTTGTGCACATTGTTGTATGCAAATTGTATATCAAAAGAAAAAATACTGTTAAGGAATATTGAACTTAGTTAATGGTATGCATGCTGAAACGTTTAGGGGGAAGGGTACTGATGTCAAATTTTAGTTTGAATGCACCAAGAAATAAGATTGATAGATAGAAGGATGGTTAGATGGATAGGTGATAAAGCAAGTATAGTAAGATGTTAATAGTAGGATCTAAGTGTTAGGTATACAGGTATCAATATAAAAGTCAATCAACTTTATGCTTGAAATTTTATAGTAAAGAAATGAAAATAAAATATCTTTAAAAATAAAAATATAATCTTAGCATAGAAATGTATGTAGTCATATTCATTTTCTATTGTTGTGTAACAAATTACCACAAATTTAGCATTTTGGGTTTTTTAAATTTTTTTAATGTTTATTTATTTTTGAAAGAGAGAAAGACACAGACAGAGTGTGAGTGGGGAAGTGATGGAGAGAGACAGAGACACAGAAGCCAAAGCAAGCTCCAGGCTCCGAGCTGTCAGCACAGAGCCTGGTATGGGGTTCAAACTCATGAGCCCTGAGATCATGACCTGAGCTGAAGTCGGACACTTAACCAACTGTGCCACCCAGGTGCCCCAAATTTAGAATTTTGAAACACTCATTCTTTTTATCTCACAGCTTCCATGATCAGGAATCCAGTCAAGGATTAACTGGGTCCTCCACTCAGGTTCACCCAAGGCTGTAGTCCAGGTGTTGACTAGGCTACTTTCTCATCTGTAAGCACAACTTAGGAGGAATCCACTTCCAAGTTGTCATGGAGGTTGTTGGCAGGAATCATCTCCTCGTGGCTATATGTCTGAGCACCCTGGATTCCTATTAGCTTCAACTAGCTCGAACCCAGAGGCCATCCTCAGCTCCTACAGTTCCCTGCCACATGGTTCTCTCCATAGGCTGTTCTTCAAGGAGAATAGAAGGATCTCTCTCATTGGCTAAGATGGAGTCTTACATA